CAAGTGTTTTTTTAGTCTCTGTTTCATTTATTTCTGCTCTAATCTTTATTTTTCCCCTCTCACTGCTTTGGGCTTTCTTTTCTAGTTCCTTTAGATGTAAAATTAGATAGTTTGAGATTTTTCTTGTTTTTTGAGGGAGGCCTTTATCACTATAAATTTTCCTTTGAGAATTGCTTTAGTTGCATCCTACAGACTTTGGACCAATGTGTTTTCATTTTCTTTTGTCTTCATGTCACTTTTGATTTCCTCCTTGATTTCTTCATTGACCAGTGGGTATTTAGTAGCATGTTGTTTAGGCCCCATGTGTTTATGCTTTTTCCGTTTTTTTTTCTTGTAAATTTCTTGTTTCATAACAGTTGTGGTTGGAAGTGATGGTTGATATGATTTCAGTCTTATATTTATTGAGATTGTTTTGTGACCTAATAACGTGATCTGTCCTGGAAAATGTTTCATGTGATTTTAAAGCAATGTGTATTCTGTTGTTTTGGGATGGAATGTTCTATATATATCTGTTAAGTCTATCTGGTCTAATATGTTATGCAAAGACACTTTCCTTTTTAATTTTTTGCCTGAATGAAGTATCCATTAATGTAAGTGGGGTGTTAAAAAGTCCCCTACTATCATTGTATTACTGTCATTTTCTCCCTTCACATCTGTTAATATTTGCTTATTAAGTGCTCCAATGGTGAGTACATAGATATTTACAATTGTTGTATCCCCTTGTTGGATTGATCCCTTTATTATTATGTAATGCCCTTCTTTGTTTCTTGTTACACTTTAATGTCTGTGTTGTCTGATATAAGTATTACTACCTAGGCTTTATTTCGCTTCCATTTGCATGGAATATCTTTTTCATCACTTCACTTTTAGTCTTCATGTGTCTTTAGGTCTGAAGTGAGTCTCTTGCAGGAAGCATATAGATGGGGCTTGTTTTGTTATCCATTCTGTCACCCTGTGTATTGACTGGACCATTTAGATCATTTATATTTAAAGTAATTATTGATAGGTATGTACTTAATGCCACTTTATTGTTTTCTGTTTGTTTTTGTAGTTTTTCTCTGTTCCTTTCTTCTGTTGCTCTCTTGTGATTGATGACTTTCTTAATATTAGGCTTGGATTTCTTTCTTTTTTGTGTATCTAGTATAAGTTTTTGGTTGATGGTTACCGTGAAGTTCATATATAACATCTTAAGTATTTAACAGTCTGTATTAACTTGATGGTCACTTAATTTCCAAGACATTGTAAAAGAACTTTATTTTACTCTCCCCCTCTTCACCGTTTTTGTGTTTTCATGGTTTACAGCTTTTTATTTCACGAGTCCCCTTAACTAAAGTTTAAAGATTTTATTTATCTTAGAGAACATGCATGTGAGCAGTGGAGGAGCAGAGGGAGAGGGAGGGGGAAAGAATCTCCAGCGGACTCTGTGCTGAGTGTGGAGCCCACCATGGGGCTCAGTCTCTCGACCCTGAGATCATGACCTGAGCTGAAACCAGGAGTCAGATGCTTAATGACTGAGCCACCCAGGAACCCCTCCTAATTTTCTTCTAATTATGGCCTTTTCTTTTCCACTTAAAGGAGTCTCTTTAGAAAGTGACTTTTTCTCTGGGTGCTTTTAAGATTTTCTTTTTTTTCGTTGATTTTTTTTTTCCAGCAACTTATTTATGATATGCCTTGGTGTGGTACATGTATATCATCAATTAGGGCTTTTTATTGAGGACTTGTTATCAGGGGTTAATGGTTGACAGCTTGGAAAATTTTAGTCATTATTTCACTCTCTTTTTTTTCTGTTATTTCCTTTCAGTATTCTAGTTACACACAGTTGATCACATATTTTTCCATTGAGACTGTTCATTTATTTTATTTTTTTATGCTTCATTTTATATTCTAATGTTCTGTCTTAAAGTTTACCAGTCTTTATTTCTGTAGTGTTTAATATGCTGTTATTTCTGTCCAGTGAGAAATCTGTATTTTAGATAATGAATATGTCATCTCTGCAATTTCAGTTTTACTCTTTTTTATACCTTTCATTTTTCCCATACTTTTGATTTCCATTAAATACTTGTTCATAATTATCATTGTTCTAACATCTCTGTCCTTGTTCTATTATCATTTCTGTCATTTCTGGATCTGTTTTATTGATTGTTTTTTTCTTGGTGTTTTCACATTTTCTTCCTTATTGTCATCTCTAGTAATTTTTGATAGAATGTGGAACATTTTCAGTGGTTACATTGTTGACTGTATGGATTTTGTTATCTTCCTTTTTTAAAGAGTGGCTGCTATTTAAGTTAGTTTGGGGTTCCTTTCATCCCTTTGGAGCATTCTGGGGTTTTTTGTTTTTTTCTTTAGCTTGACTTCAGTGCATCTAGGGTAGCTTTTACTCAAGGGACAGTTCATCCCTTCTATAAAGCTATGATCCTTCCTGGCTCTTCACTGAATGCCCTAAATGATTACCAAGGACTTTCAACTTTGACTCCATGATTATGAGCCTTGGGAATTGTTTAAGTTAAAACTCCCATTTCTTTTTTTAGTCTTGTGGAGATTTTTCCCTATGCATGTGTCTAGTGCTGAGGAAAAACTTAAAGGGACCCATGTGCAGATTTCCAGAGATTTTTCTCTTTATATGTTCTTTTTTTAATTTTTTCATTTATTTGAGAGAGAGTGAGGAAGTGAACATAAGCAGGAGGAGGGGCAGAGGGAGAGGAGAGAGAATCCCAAGCAGACTCCACACTGAGCGTGGAGCCTGATATGGGGCTTGATCTCACAACTCTATCATATCCTAAGCCAGAATCAAGAGTCAGACGCTTAACTGACTGAGCTACCTAGGCACCCCTTCTTTCTCATCAGAATTCTGCCCTGCAACTTCCACTCACCCCAGCCTCCCTAAATTCTGATCTTATCTCTTCCATTTAGCAATTATGTTTTCCCTCTGTCACTGAATTTAGGTAAAGTGCCTCTACTTGGAAACCTGGGTCATTTGTAGGGATCACACTTCTCTCAAAGATCACAGTTGTGTACTACCTGTTGTTCAGTATTTGAGACCATTCTTTTTATTTTGTCCAGTTTTCTAGTACATGATTTTTGTCTGTATCTTATGAATTGATATCGGTACTTTCTTAATATTTCTTACTCTTTCATATTTATTTTTCTATAAGGAATATTAGAATTAGCTTGTTTTACTTTTAAAAATGTGTTTAAGGTTATGTGAAATGCATAGATTAATGTAGGGAGAACTAATATCTTTGGAATATTGAACCTCGATAGTCAAGTACAGTAGCATATACCTTTGTAATTTTAACCAAGAGTATCTATTGCTATTTTATTGTGAATTTTTACTAAAAATATTTATTGTTTTCTCATGCCTTTTCCCTTTGTATGCAAGTAGTCATAGTTTTTTTTTTTTATCTATTAGTGTGGTGACTTATATGTATACCTTTTTCTAATATACAACCCATTTATAAATTTCTGGTATGAAACCTCAGTTGTATATTTTAGTTTGGATTTTTGTATAGATTCTTGGATTACTTTTGATTGTTTTAAAGATTTATTTTTTATTTATTCGATATAGGGAGGGAGGGATAGCGAGCGAGAGAGAAGGGGCAGAGGGAGCCAGAGAGGGAGAGAAGCAGACTCCCTGCAGAGTGCAAAGCCTGAGCCTGAGATCATGACCTGAGCCAAAACCAAGAATTGGCCGCTTAACCGACTGAGCCACCCAGGCACCACTACTTTTGATTGTTCTAAAATTCAAATTCCTAGCTTTCATTTAGAATCTTTAAATATAATAGACTTTGAAAAATTTATAAAAAGGAAAGAATTCTCAGAGTGCATGAGGCATATGCATCATTGTGGTTAAGTAGGGAGACAACTTTTAGAACTATGACACTTATTTAAATATACAGTTGACCCTTGAATTGTGCTGGGGTTTGGGGGCATTGACCTCCGCATTGTTGAAAAACTGCACGTAACTTCTGACTTTCCCCAGATTGAACTACTGTATTTTTAATATATATATTTATTTTTCACCTCACCCCCCCACCCCAAAAATGTATTTTATATTGTGACTGAAAAGTAAGAAGTTGCCAAATGACAACAAGCAAAGGGAAGGTAGAGGAAAGATACAGGGTAGGCTGGAACAGCAGGACTTTCACCTGCTTTTGGCCGTCCTCATCCCACTACGTGGGCATGAGGGTTAAGTTCACTGAAGCCTTGAACAGCTCTGGAGAGGGATTCTTGCTGAAGTGGCAGGGCCAGTTACTGGTCCTACTTGGCCAGGGATCACAGAATGATACCACATCACCAAAGGGTCTGGGGGAACCCCACAATGACAGGAAGAAGCCCGCAATGCAGAGCCGGCAGCAGGGAGGGGTGCTGTCTGCCATACTGAATGTCCTCCAAGCAGACGAGCTAATACCCCAGGGATCTAGCGGCTCACAGCTTGCCAGCATGTCCTGTAAGCAGAAGCTGCCATAGAACCAGGTAGGGAGTCAGTGGGTCATGCCAACCTAGAGAGATGGTAAAGGTGCTCTGCCTTCCCCTAGATGTTGCATAGAAGGACGTTTTCTACATTTCTGGGTAGTGGATAAGGGGTGTTACTCCAGGATCCAGTTTTGCTAACTTTAGGTGGGGGTGAGGAGACGTATGGTACCTCATTCTATTGTACTGTATTTGTTGACCAAAATCTGTGTTTAAGTAGACCCCCGCAACTCAGACCCAGGTTGTGCAGCTGTATGTTTGTTTTTGTTTCAAAATAATTGTTAAGAGAATTATTTTATGCTGTTCATCTTGCTTCTATCACAGGAATGTTTTTGACAAAGAGAAATAGGATTTTTTGTTGTTGTTGGTTAAATCTTGTCAAGAAAATGTGCTTGTGTTATAAAATTCATGTTGAACCTGTTCTTCTATGGTCTAGATTTAGCAGAAAAGAATTTTAATCACCTGTCTCCATATGCAGCTGTCTCAGTTCTCACTAATTCAGTTACATGCGGTGTTTTCCGTGTTTACAGGTTCAGTTTAACTTGCAGTTTACAAAACCAAATACATCACTAGGAGATGTTCAGTCAGGAACAACTATTAGTATGCCTTGCTCAATTGATAAGGAAAAGTAAGTACTTGTTGGCATAAAATTTAATGTTTGCAATTTTGAAAGTCATCTTAAATAATTTTTATCCGTTCTTGAAAGCTTTGATGCCCACTTATTTATCTGTGACATTTGAAGTTGCTGATCAGTGGGATTGAAGTGGAGTTCCTTTTATCTATAAGAAAGATTTCCCATATTTTTTTAAACTGTAGTAGACAGTTAAACATACAGTAAAATTTTATTTTTTAGGAGAGACTTTCCTACATAACTGAACTACCTTTCATCTGCTTTTGGGCAACTAGATAGAAATCTTTCTGACTCCCTTTAGTGTGGTTTTTGTTTTTGTTTTGTCTGTGTCTGCCTCTGGAAGCACTCCATTTTTCTGAATTAATGCTTCCAGTGTAAAGAACTCTGAGAAGCCAGCTATTTTATTTTATTTTATTTATTTTATTTATATTTTAAAGATTTATTTATTTTAGAGAGAGACCGAGCATGAGCAAGGGGAGGGACAGGAGAGGGAGAGAAGCTGACTTCCTGCTGAGCATGGAGTCCCACGGCTCCATCTCAGGACCCTGACATCATGACCTGAGCCAAAACCGAGAGTCGGACCCTTAACCAACTGAGCCACCCAGGCGCCCCAGAAGTCAGCTATTTTAAACAGCTAGAATTCGGGCACCTGGGTGGCTCAGTTGGTTGGGTGACTGCCTTCAGCTCAGGTCATGATCCTGGAGTCCCAGGATCGAGTCCCGCATCGGGCTCCCTGCTCAGCAGGGAGTCTGCTTCTCCCTCTGACCCTCCCCCCTCTCATGCTCTATCTCATTCTCTCTCTCTCAAATAAATGAAAAAAAAAAATCTTTAAATGCTAGAATTCTTTGCTAAGAATAAGGAGGCTTGTGAGATTGTCCCATACCCATCGAAATAAGCTTTAATTTTATGACTTGTTTTGCCTACTCAGAAATTCCTTCCTACTTTTTACCTCTTACACAAGTTTTACATAGTGGGGTTTGTTCTGTCAGTGAGTTGTGACTAAATTAAACAGCTCATGAAAACTTGTCTCTCTGTAGTCTCTCTGGTAGTCTATACATGTTTGTACTATTTTTTTCTTATTATTATGCTTCTTACTTAAAATTTCATCACTTTAAGACCTGTCTGCTGGCACTCATTACATTAGCTAGCATCATTCCAATGTATTGCAGAATAAATTACTAACACTTCCAAGAGGCTTCTTATCCCAGTTCTCTGGCTCTTATTCATTGGCTTCTCTAAAGTTGGCACCAACATGAATATTACAATAGTTTGTGAGCCTTTTTAAAAAAGCAGAATTCTTTGAAGTCTTGAAATGTATATATTTGTCATATTTAATCTCACACTTGTTCAAGAGGCAGTGCATCTGGAATTCATGTTAATGGTAGAACACCATGTTTATATATTTAACTCTGTCATACACACCAAGAGCAATTTTACTTGCAGAAAATATCGTATTTGTGGTACAAAACCAAACATAACCATGTGTCCATAAAATTAGGACTGTTCAGCTATTTTGAGTGCTTTCTGTTTGTGATTGGTTTTTTACTTTATTTGTTGTCAGGTAGGAAAAGTATGGCAATGGGTATCAAAAGTTAAAAAAAAGCTAAACTGAAGGAAATATCTGTTCACCCACTTCTTTTCTGAAAATTGGAAAAAGACCATTTAATTTCAAGAATGTACATTGTTTTACCAGTGCCTTTAAATTCTTGTTACATGGAACTACTGAGAAACTTGACACTGGACAGATATAGGAAAAACGAATATGGTGGTAGAAAGGGGAAAAATACATCTACATAAATGCCCCCCATGTTTTTCCAAAATTTTATATTTGTGTTCATCTGACTAGAATTCATTATTAATTTTAATAGTGCTAAATATTAATGAACTTTGAAGTACTATAAAATTTTGAAGAGCTTTTGGCAAAGGAAAAATCTTACTCATTTTATTTTTATTTATTATTATTATTTTTTTAAAGTAGGCTCCACGCCTAGCGTGAAACCCAACACAGGGCTTGAACTCACAACCCTGAGATCAAGACCTGAGCTGAGATCGATTCGGAGGCTTAACCAACTGAGCCACCCACGCGCCCCTTACTCATTTTATTTTATTTTTATTTTTAATTTTTTTCCCTTACTCGTTTTACATACAAAATGAGATAGAAATGATTAAGTAATGATACTCTTGAAGCACGGACATTTGTTTTCATTTGTGTATCACTTAGGCACTATTGTTTTATAGTTTCATAGTACTAGAGTTTTCATTTCCCCTATATTTTTTATCTTAGCTCTTCGACTTACTGGTGTTATTTATTATAGTCTACTGTTTACTGGGAAGGGTACTTTGGCTTATGGATAAATTACTTAAGAAACCACTGAAGAATATGATTTGTTTTGAACAAAGCTATCAACAGATTATTTTATATATGTCTGTAGATTAGATGAACCTTCAAAATTAACTTTTAAAGTGAAAATACGGCTTTGTTAAGATAAGTAAATAATTACTATTTTCATTTCAAGTGGTGCAAATTTAGGGCTGGAATCCAAATACCTGAAGAAAAGGGAAGATAGCATTCCTTTACGTGGGCTCAGCCAAAACCTGTTCAATAATCCAGGTGAGAGGACAGTTCTGAAATGGATTTTACACTGTGGTTTAATTGACTATATTTTACAAAGACGTAAGTGAATACAAATAATTTTTTTTTGTCCTCATTTGCAGACCATCAAAAAGATGGCACTTTAGGAGCATTACAGACATCTTCCAAACCCGCAGTGCTCCCTTCTGCATCTTCAGCGTATTTCCCTGGGCAGTTAACAAACAGTTAGTGCTGGTGTTACCTTTTACATTTTATTGAAATTTTAGAAATTCCCATGGTTTAAAAATATATGAACAGCATAGATCAAATCCTCAGCCAGCGAGTTTCAAAGTTTACTTGAGCTTACTGTATTAGATTGTTTGGATCCTTTTTAAGTACTGCTGTCATTTCATGACAAGCTAGAGGAGCTGGTTTGTACTTGGGGGATTCTGAGTGAAGATTCTCAGGAAATGACACCTTTTAGTTTGTGTACATGGTGTTTTATAGAATAACAGTATGAATTTTATTAAATGAATCCTTTGAAAAGTAGTTCTAAGGAAAGAGTTGATGCTTTTACGGGACATTCTAGTCATTGAGTATCTGGGTAAATGAAAACCTGCTCAGACATAATATGAAACCAAAGAATGTTAATAATTCATTTTATCATTTTCATTGGTAGAAGTTTTAAATTTGACACCTGAAAATTATGAGGGAAAATTATTATCTCCAAAGATATCTATATTATAATTACCATAAAGGGAAAAGTCTTAGAATTACCTTCAATGAATGAAATTAATCCTTCATAGCAAGTATTTTCCTTGCAACATCTTTAAATTAGCTATTGAACAAGTCTAAGTAATTTTGATAAATTATAAAAATAATTTGGACAATGTATTTATATAACCGGATTGGGTGCTTTTAATCATTTGAGCTGCAAAGTTTATAGGATTTTAATGCTTCCTGGAAAACTACATTTACCCAGTTTTTCTTTGTTTGGAGTTTTATTAGTTTGTTATACAATTAAATTAGTGGAATGTTTTAAAAATTAGTACTATACAAAATACTTTTAAGAGCATCATGAATATTCATTTTTTTTTATAATATCAGAGTGGGTACACCCAGTACAGAGTAGCATTCTCTTATGAAACGTATAAATCAGTTTTTGTTTGCAAGGATTGCTAATGCTCATGTAATATTTATAAACTATTTTCAAGGACCTTACTACACAGATAAGGAAAGAGAATTCAGTATATTAATATCAGTATTATTGGGTTCATGTTATAAGACAATCTAGTATTTACTCATATTTTTCTGAAGCCACAATATTGAGTCTTGTACTTTGAAACTGTGCTGGTAGTTGCAAAGAGTCTTAACTAGGGGATTTATTCAAAAAAATTTAGTGACCATTATTGGGTAGTTACTTTTATATGTGACTTGTCATTTCAATATACTATTATGAGTATTAGTAAGAATACTTGGTTACAGCAACTTGAAATCACTTACTAATAATAATCTGGAAAGTGGCCTCTTGGTGATACTAGAATCTTTCCTGTAAATAGAATGTAACATATATATAAAACATTGTGACAGGGTTTGGATGGGACTTAGGACATACAGGTAGTTCTTTTTTATTTGAAATTGTTTTGCAGTGTACAGCTGTACATGTGTTAATAATCACAAGGTTGCACTTAATTTCTGTGAACTGTGAGCTTCGTTAATAAAGTATGGTATATGACGTGTATGTAAAAACAAACAGCACTGATCTGCAACTGTTTACTATGCTTAGAATTTAAGTACTTCGTTTAATTTATGGACTAAGTTTTCATTTCTTTTGTCTTCCTACAGGAGTATGTTGTAGTGAGGGAGAAAAAAAAGGGGTTGAAGGGAAAATGACGTAAAGCTTTGATTTGTTACTGTAAAAATGATTATGGTAACAAAGCCAAAACAGACCTTACAGGGAATCACAGATCAAGACTTTCTTTTTAAAAAAAAAAAATCATTAAAATATTTAATTTTATTAACAGAATATTTACATTTCTTTTAAGACCTTATTTAACCATAGTGAATGTTCCAAGTTTAAAAAGCATTGAGCAATAACCACACAAGATGAAAACAGTGTAAACTATACAATACTTTATGTACAATTTTTACAAAGTAACACTTTTTTAAATAATATAACTGGACACAAAAATATACACTTTAGAGAAATTCACATCAGTAATTGTATAAAGCTCTCTTCTAGGGTCCTGAAAATTTAGGACAAACATTAGCTCTGTAAATAAAGTGTTACTGTGACAGTCCTGAAAGGCCACTATATATATTTATCTACATATAGATATCACATTGACATTTTCAAGGCTACCAGCTTTACTATATAATTTTTAGATTATGTATTCAAGTGTTGAGGTTCTTATGATTATGCAAACATTAAAAGAATAGTGGTGTTAAGTAGCTGGGGAACAAATCTGAGCCAGTGTTTAGATTTAGACTCTACCCCAATTTAAATTCTAAATGGCTGATATTTTCTCATTTCAAAAACAGTGGTGAATGTTTAAAATAAAATAACTACAAACAAGCTTGAAACATGATTCAGATTTAGTACAATTTTCTTAAGTTTTTTTTTTAATGCAAACAATTCATTTACCATTTCTTTACTTTAGTGCATCTGCATTAAGGCTTTGAATTATTTGACCCAAGATTTTACAATGTTAAAAACGAACAGGTCCATAACCGTACTACCTAATCTGTCTCGCTGTGAGTCAGCATAAATAGAGTTAAAGCTCAACACCTGAAGGAAATGGTAGCAGAGACGTTGCTAGTATCTAAGAAGGTACGTATATAGTTTTTAATTAAAGGATGTATAATAAAACAAAAAGCTTAGTGGCAAGAAACTGGTGCTAATAAACAAAAGGTTTCTTTTCAAAAGAAATTGTAACATCTTTGGAAAACTGTCCGGTTCTGGTTCTTTCTTTAGTTCCCACGGAGTTCATGCAGATACACTTCTTAAGACAATCTTAAAGTACATTGTAGATGGAAATGGAATGTACATCCAGAACTACAGGTGAAAACTAAGACCTGGGTGTGAGAGAAAAGTCTTCCTGATTTCGGTCATCACACATTTGTGTCCTGGAGCAAAGGTTCTTTGGCCTCTCCTGGCGCTTGTGTACTGTGAGGATGGCTGTGACTGCCGCAGTGCTTTCTCCAGCTGCTGGACCGTAAACTCAAATTGGTATGTTCTGGAATAAACAAGGCAACAAGCAGAGCCAGCAGTACCGAACAGGCTCCAAATAGGAAGGGGGGGCCAGGGATGATCGAATTCTGAGAAAGAAAAAGGTAATTAGGGTTTTTGCGCCGACATCTCGGCTCTAAAGACACTGCTTATCTTTTAGTAATCCCAGATTGCTATGAATTATAAATCAAGGTTTTTCTCTCTCTCTTCATCAGAGCTACAGTTAGAAAATGCATTTGCTTTTCAGGAGAAAAGGGACACGATCGTACTCTCACTTTAAAATTCTGAGGATAATAACTGATCCAAGAAACCGAGCCAAAGATTTTTTAAAAAACAGCCTATGCAGAAATAGATGGTCACTTGCAGCACAGAATCTGAACACATCCTAGGAGCCGTCGCCTCAGTAGTTCAGCAGGAAGCTCTCAAAAGTAAAATTAAGTAGCATATGCCATTAACTACCGTAGCGGAATCATCATGACCGTTTTCTCTGTTTAAAAAGCTAAATACATTCTCTAGTAACGACCAGTGAGGGAAACACAGCTAAGGCTGTTACCGTAGGAATCAAAAAGGCCTTTGTTTTAGCCCGAAGTTACGTTCATCCTATGCAAAAACTTGCACAGCCAGTTTAACCTGTGTACAGCCCACAAACAAACATTTTTATTTAACAGTAGTCTTGGCGCTCTGCTATACAGGCACGGAACTGATGAGCTATCTGCATTGGCTAAAGGGATGATGTCTGCCGTTAGTATTTTCAGTTGTAAGGAGGGAAAGTACAGCAAACAAGTGAACAAAGATGTGAATCCGCACCTAGCTGCCGGTTGCTAGAGAAGGCAGGCCTCGCCTGGGGGCCTCGTGCATCGCGCAAGACCCCGATGAGACAGACAGCGGTACACACGGGGGCTGTTACCCACACCACGAGGTGTAATACCACACACTGGAATATTTCAGTAATTCTTAAATTCTCGAGGGAAAAGGTATGGACAGCCGATTTCAAAAAGAGGTATACAGGGGAGCACAGCCTCTTTGGCTTTGGTTTTTAAGTGCTGTGATAATCTCACGTAAAAGCTTGGGTGATCAAAAACCATTTGTCTTTCAATGCAGCCAAGTGAACTGTATGTCTATCAGGTGAACGAAGAATTACCTGTTCAAAGTGGTGCTGTGGGCTTGTGTTTGTTCCCAAGTCTGTTCCTGTCATTGGCAGTTCTTTAAGTTCCACATGGAATATGTAGAAAATGAATCCATAAAGAGCTGGTCCCAGACCATTGCACAATCCTCGAATTCCTGTTATCATTCCTTGAACAACACCTAAATTGTTTACACAAATTATGTAATGCACCGCTTATTTTTTTCCTGCCCTAGAACCAGTACAAACAGGAAGTCAATCTAAAACAAAAGCTCTCATCAGACACTAGCAATTTACCAAGATGGCATTAAAAAGTACTTAGAAGCCCTCAGCTCTACAAAGTAAGCTATCTGATACAAATGTGAGATCAGGTAAACCCAACCCAGACACAGACCTAGTTTAAACAAGTGGGCAAAAGCACCTTACTTCCCTTTAAAACACCTCTGGCTAAAAATTCGACATGAGTTCACAAGCATAATTGTTAAAAAAGAAAAAACTGCCCCCAAGGAGCTACTTAAGACCCCACTGAGTCAAATACAGAGTTTGAGTTTTGCTTTTCTCTGGGATCTTTTCTCAAATTTATTTATTTTTTTTAAGATTTTATTTATATCTTTTCTCAAATTTAAAATGCAATTTGCTTTGGCCACACGCCTTTCCTTCCTCATTTATCAACCAAGTGATCGCTGCCACTCTTTTGTAATACCCCTTTTTTCCCCTTATGACTAGAGAAAACATCTTTTTCATAGAATTATTTATCTGTTAGCGTCTTGAGAATTAAACGTTCCTATCACAAAAGTGTAGGATCATGTTTTCTAAGAAGGTCTTTAGATAACTGAAACCTAAGATTTAAATAAAAGGGTTACTTAAACCCAAGGTGTCTAGCACTTAAAAGTGGACATAAGGTGGCCAGCCTATCATTAGATTTTCCAGCGAAAGGACAGCTAGCGCCACGCACTCACAGTGAGAGACATGGTTACAGATACCCACCTAAGGACAGTACCCTGGAATCTGCGTTTCCTCTTAGCAATGAAAGCAATTTTAAATTCTTTACCTTGATATATTTACGATCTGTACTGAGGAAGGAGATAGGACATAGGATTCGAGTATTCGTGCTTTGAAATAGTAATCATGGGTTCTCGTCAACTCACCTTGTTGATCAGCATCAGCAGTTCGTGAAACAAGGGCACTGACCGCTGGAAAGGTAATGCTGGACATGGCCGCTACGGCCCCGGCAGCCCACATCATCCTGTGACCCAAAGCAGCAAAACAAAAACACGTTCTCCACTGCGCCTCTCACTCAGAACACACACTTGAATTCAAGTAACTGTTACTGCAAAGCGGCTGTGGTACAGGGAAAAGGAGAATCGTACTTGGTCTATTCCTTCCTTCCTGTGTGACTCTGGGCAAGTCACCCTAAGCCTGAGCGGTGGGTGGGGACAGGGAGGCCACTGAGAATAATGTACGATACACATAAAAAACATCATTTCGTGTTTCCCCAGCCAGTTAGTCCCTCTGCAGGCACTGTTCCCGCAGACCTGTGCTTCAGCGTGAAGATACTGAGCTGACCTAAGCCTTGGATGTTCTGGGCTTGATACTCAAAATAAATGCTTTCGATCATTTAAATTGTGAGCACCTCTTTGTAAAAACTAGCCTGGAAAACAAAACCACCATCAAAACACACTCTTGCTGCTTACTCCTATCCAAATCCGAACAGAGGTAGTATGTTCGGGGGAATGAAAACCTGAGGGAAGCAAGTTCAGTCCCGTCACCCGGAGCATAAAGGCGCGCCTGCGCCGCCCGACCTCAACCTCACCACTACCATCACCCTGCAGGCCACCAGACTGGCGAGAAAAGCAAAGAGCCTTTTCTCTGGCATGAAGCTGGGACCAAAACAATCGGGCTTGCTCAATTAACTTCTGGTCTGCCATCAGTAATGATCACTGATGCTACACATTTTTTTTCTAACAGAAAAACAAAAAAGGTAAATAGTGCTAGCTTTCAGGGTTTTGCTGCTTTGAGATTACATGTTTTATCCTAATGACAGACTGATACAGATTAAATGCTCAGTAGAGATTTAAAAACTAATCTTATTTAAAAATCTAATCTGTCACACAGAAAATGTCACACCTCTCTATCCTCAAGCCATTCTAGAATACACAAATACACAAATGAGAAATCTGTATTATATACATTTTGAGAGAAATAAAGCATAGTAGGAGACAGATTAAAATCTAATAATAAGCCTTAGATGAGAAGCAAATACAAAAATGTCTGCCAATTAGGGGTGCGTGGGTGGCTCAGTCAGTTGGGTGTCCAACTCTTGATTTTGGCTCAGGGTCCTGGGATCGACCCCCACATCAGGCTCTATGCTCAGCAGGGAATCTGCTGGGGATTCTCCTGC